TCTGGAATACACAAGAAGTTTCCTTTAAACAAATACCCATCATGCATTCTGAATGGCAGCATCTTCCAACCCGCAGGGTGTTGAAGTTCAGCAACTACAGAGCTGAAATACGGGTTTGCAACATACTGAGTTTTCAACTCCTCAAATCCAATAACTTGAGTACTAATCACTGTCAACAATAGGTTCCTCCGACTCAAAGCATCTGCAACTTTATTAGACTCGCCAGTTTTGTACTTGAGGCAAAAGTTGAACTCTTGAAGGTATGAACTCCATTTGACGTCGAGCATTCAACTTCTTTTGAGAATTCAAGTACCTTAAGGCTTGATGATCTGAATAAACCACAAATTCTTTATAGGCTAGGCAGTGTTCCCAATGTTGGATTGCATGAACCAAAGCATAAAATTCCAAATCATAGGTGGAATAACAACATTTAGCACTAGACAACTTCTCACTAAAAAATTCCACCGGCCTTCCTTCTTGACTCAAAACAGCCTCTCTTCCTGCATGTGCATCACACTCGAGTGAATAGCTTCTCAAACTCTGGTAGTGTGAGTATTGGAGCTTCTGTCATCAATCTTTTTATTTTTTCAAAGGCTCTTTGTGCTATTTTGACCACTAAAAAGCATTTGCTTTCAAGCATTTAGTGATTGGACTCATAATGGAACTGAAATTGCGAATGAACCTCCTGTAGAGTGAAACCAATCTGTGGAAACTTCAAACGTCACCCACAGATTGTGGTACTGGCCACTCTTTAATAGCTCTTACTTTCTCAGGATCAGCTTGCAAACCATCGGCTGAAACAATAAAGCCAAGAAACACAACTTTGTCGCATAGAAAAGAGCACTTTTTCAAGTTTACATACAACTTCTCCTAACGGAGAACCTCCATGACTTGGCGCAAATGGAATAATTGCTCTTTACTTGTATGACTATATATTAATATGTCATCAAAATAAACAACTATAAATGAGCCCAAGGAAGGTTTGAGTACCTTGGTCATAACTCGCATAAATGTGCTAGGAGCATTGGATAGTCCGAATGGCGTCACTAACCACTCGTAAATTCCATTCGGAGTTTTGAAGGCTGTCTTCCATTTATCACCACTCACACGAATTTGATGATACCCGCTTCTCAAGTCTATTTTTGAAACACCTTGGACCCCACTAACATATCAAGTATATCCTCTAATCAAGGAATGGGACACTGGTATTTCACTGTAATTTTGTTGATGGCACGACTGTCCACACACATCCTCCATGATCCATCTTTTTTTGGTGTTTGCAATGCTGAAACAGCGCAAGGACTCTTGCCCTCACGCTCAAAACCCTTAACAATCAAGTCTTCCACTTGCCTTTGAATTTCAGCTCGTTGCGTGGGTGGCATTCTATAAGCAGGAAGGTTTGGTAAAGCTGCACCAGGCACCATATCAATAGTATGCTGAATACTCTTCATTGGTGGCAAACCTTGTGGTAAATCATCACCAACCAGCTCTTGGAACTCCATCAGTATATGCTGAATTTCAATTGGATACTCATCAAAATTTAAAGGCTGTTCTTCTTGTACTTTCTTAGCAACAAGTGTATGCATAACTCCCATCTCCTTGCTCTCAAAAGTTCAAACTTGTGGGCTGTCAAAAACCCATTGACTTTGGCAGCCTTAGGAGTGTCAAGTGATTTCTTCTTTAAGTGGCTGCAAAGTCAACTTTTTCCCTAAAACAAGTAGGTATTGGCTCTAGCATAATGGATCATGTCTTTGTCAAACAACCATGGCCTTCCTAATAAGATATGACAGGCATCCATATGAACAATATCACACCAAGCTTCATCATTAACTGTATTACTAACCACACCATAAGTCCTTCCAGAACCGAATATCTCTGCCATTCTGAGCTCGGAATCTAATATTTTCCGAAAATTCATCTCAGCCCTTTCGAATGAGCTTCCACACACCCATGCCACTAGATGAACTGACCGCACTAGAGGCCCAACCATAGTTGTTAAAGGCGTTGAAGGCGCGCACCTGAGGCGCAAGGCGCCTCCAGGCGCCACCTTGGGGCCTTGATTGTCTCAAGGCGACTGCCTTGTACTAGGCGAGCACCTTTTAGGAAAAGGCGCGCCTGCTTGAATTTTTTTTTTTACTTTTTTTGTTATTATTTTGGTTGTGTATGGGTTTATTATTTGTTTATTGTTAGTTTAGTTTTTATTTGTTTATTACAAAACCTATACAAGACTACAAAAGAAAAAGAAAAGAAAAAAAGGAGAACCAAGTTACCAAAAAGCAAAAGGACAGAGAAGTACGAGCCCGGATCCTCATTTGCGAAGCTTGGAGTCTTGGATCTGCCGGATCTGCGAAGCCGGTAAATTCTCCTTCCCTCTCTTCTTCTTCTCTCCTTCTTGCTTCTCAGATCTCTTAGTCTCAGACTCTCAGATTTTTTTTTTTTTTTTTCTCTATTCTTCTTCTTTTCTTTAGTTCTTCTTCTTCTTCTCTCGGCAGTCAGCTCTCTCGAGTCTCGGCTCTTGCTCTTCTTTTATTTTTATTTTTATTTATTTTTCTCTATTTTTTTATTTTTTATTTTATTATTTATTTATTCTTCTTCTTCTTCTCTCGAGTCTCAGCTCTTCTTGGCCTTTTTTTTATTTTTTTATTTTATTTTTTTCTCTATTCTTCTTCTCTCGGCTCTTCTTTTATTTATTTATTTTTATTTTTTTTTCTCTATTCTTCTTCTCTCGTCTCGGCTCTTCTTTTATTTTTATTTTTATTTTTATTTTTAAATAGCATATCATTGTTGTAGATCATTGTCTTTCCTGGTATATATCATTGAAAAATTAAGAAATAAATTGAAGATGTCTTTTAAAAGGAACAAGTTGTAGATCATGTTATGCTGCACCTTAATTTCATCTGCTTCTATATCGACAGCATCATCACCTTCACAGCAATGCTCCATATCATTTGTATTTTCCATTAATTTATGTCATTCATTGACAGACAAAAGAGGACATTCGATTCCTTACTGGTTTGCAGTTGAAATAATCTGTCTAGTTGGTGTCAACACATATTTTATCAAAAGTCTTCATACAATTCCCAATTAAAGACAATTTATGTCATTCATTGACAGCCAAAAGAGGAAACTTGATTCCTTGCCGGTTTGCAGTTGATTGTTTGGACTCTGGTCTGCAAAATAATATATAAAGCTTCGATCTTCAAAATGATGTTATGCTTATTGATGACGAGGATGATATTTAGATTTGTTGGTGTTGTCTTCTTAGTTGCCTTTGGCATCTTTATGTTGAATGTTGAATATTGAACTTAAGTAATTCATTTAGTTGACTTTTGCATCTTTATATATACTATTGCATCTTTAATACTTTATTGGGTGAGTTTTGTTTTGTTTTTTTTTTTTTCAACGTGCGCCTTGCTTCAGTCAGGCGCGCGCCTCACCTTGTGCCTTGCGCCTCAGGCTCCAGGAGGCATTTGCGCTTTTGTGTGCCTTGAGCCTTTAACAACTATGGGCCCAACCACCTCTCTCCTCCCCAAAACAGCATGCAACAACCCTCCTCCAAAGCCAACAACATTCGCCTCCGAATCTCCTTAGCCACTTGTTCATTTCAGCATTCTTGTAGTGTCGGACATGGTCCTGTGTTTCTAGGTGGTTTTGATCTTTTTACCAAGCTAATTTTTTTTTTCTTTTCATGGCAATGTTTTAAAACTCATGATTGCTCGCAACACATGAATGGCTATAATTTTAAATAAAAATATGTTAAAGCAGGTGTTGGGTGGGATTTTTATCTTTTTTCGTGTTCAATCTCATTATTTCAAATATAAAAGCACATTCAGTGTGAATCTTGTTGAAGTGGGTTGGTAATAGGGGAACAATGGAGACAAACCTAAGCTCTGACTTTATTTTTATATTTAGTTTTTTGTATTAAGTGGCTACTTTTGGGGATAGATTCCGCACCTTATGCTTTTTAGCATAAGCTTATACCATTGCACTAAGTAATGGCCTATCATTATTTCAAAATATAAAAGTCTATTATTGTATGTGAGGGAAAACTACAATTCTACAACCATCTACTTCCAAAAAAGAAAAAGAAAAAAAAAAGGAAGTAATAAGTAAAAAAAGAAAGAAAAGGAAAAACCCATGCTTGGCAAACCTTTTAAAACCGATTTTCATAAGAAGACAACTGATGGTTCAGATGTCTGGTAAGAAGGAATAAATTGACTTTCTTTCCCTTCATAAAGAGATTATTCTAAAACTTGTGATGCTGAATTCCCTCAATGAATATTCTATTTATATTGTTCTGTCAATCCAAATATTAACTATTAGGAGTCATAATGTGAATAAGAATTCTTGTGGTATATGTTTATGACGTGTGATTAAATAAAAGAAGGGATGTTCTATAGAACGATTCTCGTTTCAGTTGGTTTTATTCAATTCAACAATTGACCAAAGGAAAATTTCAAAAATTCTTTCCTCTTTAAAGTCAGATAGCTTCTTTTCTTAGCTTGTACTCTTTCCTCTTCCTTCTGTGAATTTTAGGTCTTATAGCTACGCACCCCTTTTAGATTTTTTTTTTTTTTTAATGTTTATTTATTTATTTATTTTTTTCCCATAAAATCGCTGCACATAGGCTTTTATGTTTCTGCCTTATACGTGGTAACATTCCTCTTCTCTTCCTTTTTTTCTGGTAACTTCATAAGAGTGGTTTGGAGTTCTAATTTTTTGCTTCCTTTCTTTTTTTCTTTTTCTTCTTCTTCTTCTTTTATTTTTTATTTTGGTCTTTGCTATGTTATTTTATATTTTATCTTTTGATAAATGATTTTTTAAAAATGAAATCATGAAGTTAACTTCTTTCTTAGATATCATGTCTACACATTCCATCCACTTATTGTTTGTAACCAACTTACTGGCCTCTGATGGCTGTTGGTTTCCTGCTAATTCTTAACCATACCATTTTTTGCTTCTTGTTGTTTTTTTATGTATTGTTTCCTCTTTTCTTTTAGGTTCAATATTATGAGAGGCTTTCGCCTCTAGTTCCATTGAAGGCTCCTCTTGGATCTTTTTCTAATATACGAACTGGAGACTGTATTGTAACCTTCTCACGCAAAGAGATATACCGACTAAAGGTGTGGAATTGCTTCTGATATATATATATATATATATCCATCTTTTCTGCTAGTAGTTTTCTTTTATGACTCATCTAAATGGCATCAGTGTAACTGTTTTGTTCCATCTTCTTCTTCTCTCTCTTTTTTTTTTTATAGGTTTTTTATTTTATTTTTATATTTTTGATTTCCTAAATTTTTTTAGTTGAAGGATACGTATACCATGAACATGTGGTTATCAAGACATTGTAATCATTATTTTGCATTCAACAACATGAAGTTGTGGTGGCTGATTATTTACCATGTGGCACAATGGGCAAGGAGTTCTAATTGAAAATTTGAACCTCGATTTTGATTTAAATTTGTTTTCTCAATGAAACAATTTAAAAACCTAGACCAGCTGAGCTGGATGGCCTGGTGATTTTCCTCTTTATGATGTTGGATTAACTTTCCCAAATTGAGATGAAACCTGGGTGAAACAATGTAAGCCACATTACACACTGACCTGGTGGAACTGGATCGAACCTATTTTAGTAGTTGATTTCCTGTGATCTTGTTTTGACCTAGGATGATCCACCAGTTGAACTCTATGGTGCATGGGCACGGATACAAGATACAGACTGTCGCCACACAGATACGACAAATTCTTGAAAAATAGGATAAGCATACTGCAAGGACAAGTTAAAATAATTAACTTTATTAATGTAGATATGTATAAAAAATAAAAAATAAACATGTGTGTATAAATTTAAAATACAAATTTTTACGTCATGTTATATATTTTGCTACTATTTCCTTAGAAAAATTGGGAAAAAACATGCTAAGGGTCGAGAGTGATATTGTTTGAATAAATTTTAGACTAAATTAGACATGATATATTTCCAAATATTTCATTTTGAAGGAATTTTATGCTGTTCTTAACAATTATACTACGATGTTATATATGAAAAAAAAATTATATTTGAATGTTTAAGACTTGGTAAATATGTGTATTGAAGTATACAGGAAGTATCGAATACGTGGCCAGAGTATCTAAGAAGTATCAGATGCGTGTTACAAATAAAAAAAAGTATTTTCAAATTTTGGATATGGTTAGGAAGTATTTAACACATATCCGCGAGTATCCAAGTAGTGTCGGTGTCCTACTTGGACACGATAAGGGTATGTTCCTTTTATAGAAGTATCGGGGCTTTATATGTTGAACCAAACAGGCTTTCATGTTCTTTTTCTTTGAGTTACATTGTGTGATGTTTATTGAATATTCCCACGTGTTCTTGGGGTTTGAGCACATGCTATGCATACATTTAGTTTGAAATTTATGTGTTTTATGTTATATATTCAGGAGAGTTTTGACTTGAAATTCAGTAATCCAGCTATCTATTTCTACAACAACAACAGCAACAACTACATCCACAACAACCAAGCCTTTTTCCCAACTACTCGGGGTCGGCTACATGAATCCTATGATTCCATTATGCTCTATTTAAGGCCATGGCCTTACTCAATCCACGTGCTATCTATCGTATCCTTCCTTACTAAACTCTACCCACATTAACTTTGGTCTTCCTCTTCCCCTAGTATTACCCTCAACGTGGACTGTCATTTTTCCTAACCGCTGCACTCAAGGGTCTTCTTTGCCCATGTCCAAACCATCTTAACTGATTTTCTCTCATTTTATCTCCAATTTTGCTACTCCAACCATCTCCCAAATGTGATCATTTCTAATTCTATCCTTTCTAGTATTACCACACATCCTTCTCAACATTCACATTTCCACCACACTCACTTTATGCACATGTTTCCTAGCTTCCAACATTCTATGCCATAAAGTATGACTCATCTAATAGCTGTTTGATAGAACTTTCTTTTCAATTGTAAAGGGGTATTGCCTATCACACAATATACCAGATGCACTCCTCCATTTAACCCATAATGCCTTGATTCTTTGGTTAACGTTGTCTCCAATTCCTCCGTCATTATGAATAATTGAGCCTAAATAGCTAAAATGTTCGCCTTTTGTACCTCTTGATTCTCAATCCTCACTGCATCCTCATTTGTGTAACTAGATTTACTAAAGTTACACTTCATATATTCAATTTTTATTTTTATTTTTTATTATTATTATTTTTTTATATATATATATATTTATCTTAAACCCTTATAGTTCTAAAGCTTTTCTCCTAACCTGCAATTTAGCATCAACTCCTTTATGGTCATCGCTAAAATAATATCATTGGCAAATAATATACACCATGAAATCTCATGTTGGACGTGCCTTGTCAGCTCATCCATAACTAAGGCAAAAAGGTATGAACTTAATGCTGACCATTTATGTAAGCCTACAATAAATTGAAATCCCTTGTTTCCCCACAGGCGTCCTAACTAGTCACACAACCGTCAGACATGTTCTTTATTGTGTCAATATATCCCTTTGTGACTCCTTCCTTCTCTAAAACCTTTATATTTGATCTCTAGGTACCCCTGTTACACGCTTTCTCCAAATAAAAAAAACCATATGGAGATCCTTCTCCTCTCTACATCTTTCCATTAGTCTCCTCAATAAGTAAAGTAGCCTCCGTTATTGACTTTCCCGGCATGAATCCGAATTGATTCTCCAACACTTAAGTCTCTTGTCTTAGCCGTAATTCAATCACTCAACCAATCAAGCTATCTATATCTATCAATCAATGAATTTGATTTTCTAATTCATGAAATATCATTTTTTTTTTTGTAAAATTGAGAAATTTATCGTCTCTGTCACCCTAGTAGTGGCATATATTTTTATCAGTTGAGCATTGTCCGCGTCAATATCAAATAGCAGAAAGTCATGCTACCCTTTTGCTGCTTAACTGGGTTTTACTCTGGATACCTTACACTGTAATTATCAAAGTAACATTTGCATTAGTTTCTTTAGAAATGGGCAAAATCTCAAACAAAACATGATGAGCATAAAACATACTTGTAAAAAAAAATTGCGGTGAAAACGACTTACTGACAATTTGTTCAACTTGAATTGTTTCATGAAATTAATACCATTTTCTTGTCTCAACTTAAAGTGTGGGTCACTATTTATAGAGCTCATAACCCATGGCTGGTTAAGCCAGTAATACAATTCCTTGGTGGACAAGGAATTGAATCTTTGTTGGGAACAAATGCAAATACTTGGGGCTCAAGAACAATTACTTTGGGCCCAAGTCTAACAAGACATTCCTAAACAAAGCCCAACCCAATAACAAATTGAGGCGCGTGCATACAAAAACAAATCTCCTTCTTGGCTCAAATTCTGTCAAGTCTTCTTGAGGATTCTGCAGATGTCTCTCCACCATGGTGCCTGCCTTCTGAGGCACCTCAATACACCTCCTTTGATTGTAGGGTTTCGTCTTCAATGTGTGAGATGAATTAAGTCTAAACAATGCTTGAACATCTTTATAGGAACTGACTTTGTCGTCTATCGTCCGTATTTTGTTCCATGCTAGGATGAAGCAATCCAAGGATTTAGCTGTTGTCCAGCTGAAAGCGCCTTTCTGGGAACCTCAATAGTAGCTGTTTTGCATTTAGCTGGTTGTGGAAGACGGATGTGACGAGATGCTTCCTCTGCCCGATTCCCCGATTACCAATAAAAAGAAAGTGCTCTTAGCCGCTCAACATGTCAGTCACATTTTCCTTTGTGTGAACCTTCACAAATAGTATGTCTTCTGAGGATTTCCACTCCTTGATCTTGTGGTACTGCACGTCTATGTATTTTGTCCTCGTATAATACATTTGATTCTTAGTCAAGTGAATGGCACTTTTCTCTCATAGTGCAACTTAATACTCCCTTGCTTGCACCTAAACTCTAAAAGAGTCCTTTTCTCCACAAGGCTTTCTTTGCTGCCTTTGTCGCTGCCATATACTCTGCTTCTGTTGTGGATAATGCACTGTAGACTGTAGAAGTGTGGAACCCATCTCCAGCATATCGGTCCGCCTGCAAACTTGATCATATAGCCTGTGATGGACCTCGTTATGTCAAGATCCCCTTCATAATCTTAGTCTATGTATCCAACTTCTTCTGAAGCTCCATTCTGGTCAAACAGAATACCAGAATCAACTCTTTCAGCAAGATAATGGAAAATCCACTTTACTACAATTTTATGCTCTTTTTTGGGATTTGCCATATATCTGCTCACTACACTAACTACATGTGAGATAATCGGCTGTGTACAAACCATTGCATACATGAGACACCCCACTGCATTTGCATATGGCACTTGAGACTTCTACTCCACCTCATCCTCTATCCTTGGAATAACTGTGATGATAACCGAAAGTGAGCTCCTAACAGTGTGCTAACAGGTTTAGACGTGAGCATACTAAACCTCTCCAATGATTCTTCAGATATTTCCCGAGTCAACCACAGTTTTCCAGCCCACTTGTCTGTAGATCTTCGTACCGAGGATCTTTTTAGCTGCCCCCAAATTCTTCATCTCAAATTCTCTGCTCAACAAGGTCTTCATCTCAATAATGCCTAGCTTACTCTTAGTAGCAATCAATATGTCATCAAACATATGGAGTAAGTATCATGATAGAACCATCTGCAGCCTTCTTTAAGTAAACACAATAATCATGCTCACATCTGGTCTATCCATTCGTCACCATATAGGAATCAAAGCATTTGTACCATTGCTTAAGGGACTGTTTCAATCCGCAAAGTGACTTCTTTTAGTTGCATACATAGTCTTTCTTCCGCAGTTACTTGAATCCTTCAGGTTGTTCTGTTGCATGTTGATTTCTTCTTCTAAATCATCATAATAGAGAAAAGCTTTCTTGACATCTAGCTGTTCCCACTCTTGACAAGGGATTCCAACAAAGTTCTTTTCATTCGTTCTGCCACTCCATTCTGTTGTGTGGTACCGGATATCGAATAGTGGCGATTGATGCCCTCTCGTATATAGAACTCCTTGAACTCTGTTTCTTGATTCTCTTTGTCAATGTTATTCCTTAGGTACTTTTAAGTTTTTTTGCCGTCTCTCTCTTAACTTTTGCTTTCTACCACTTAAATATGACAAACACCTCTGACTTATGCTTTATAAATTAGACCTAGATTTTTGTCAAAAAGTCATGGCAAAGGTCACAAAGTACCTTGCTCCACCTTGCTGAGAAATTGGTGATGGCCCCCAAAAATCTGGTGTGTGATCTTGTCTTGAATCTGACTCGACAATGCTTCTCATCAGTTTTTGTAGAAATTCAATTTGCATGATTTTACCCCTTTCAGAAATTTCAGTTTGTGTAGCTCCATCATGCTTTGCTCACTCATATGCCCAAGTCCCATGTGCCATAGATTCGTCTCATCTTGCTGGTTTTTGTAGGAGTTATCATTGTTGCTTTTGTTTCTGGTTTGTTGGTTCAGTCCCTCTAAAACACGAGATAAAAACACGAGATTTTTTCATACGCTTTCGAATGTCCATCGAAGGGGTAATCATATTGGGAGGATTCGGGTGGAAGGGGATTTGTTTCCTATTAGCCTTCTGGGCTTCATTTACAAGTTAATAGCGAAAGTCCTTGCATTGAGATTAAGGGAAGTCTTCAATGGGATCATTTTCGATTCTCAGATTCGGTCCTTATTGTTGCTGAGTGTGTGGACTCCAGATTGAGTAGTAGTGGGGTTCCAGCGGTTTTGTGTAAGCTTGACATTCAGAAGGCCTATGATCATGTTAGTTGGAGTTTCCTTCTTTTCTTATCGGAGAGGATGGGTTTTGGAGAGAGATGGAGGAGATGGATTGAGTTATGCATTTCCAGTGTTCGCTTCTCTATTCTTGTGGATGGAGCTCCAACGGATTTCTTTAGTTCTTCGAGGGGTCTGAGATAGGGGACCCGCTTTCTCCCTTCCTGTTCCTTGTTGTGATGGAGGCTCTCAGTAGATTATTTGAGGGGGAGGGGGGATGTTAGAGACCTTTTGGGCTTTATCTACAAGTTAATAGGGAAAGTCCTTGCATTGAGATTAAGGGAAGTCTTGGATGGGATCATTTTTGATTCTCAGATTCGGTCCTTATTGTTGCTGAGTGTGTGGACTCCAGATTGAGTAGTAGTGGGGTTCCAGGGGTTTTGTGTAAGTTGGACATTCAGAAGGTGTATGATCATGTTAGTTGGAGTTTCCTTCTTTTCTTATTGGAGAGGATGGGTTTTGGAGAGAAGATGGAGGAGATGGATTGAGTTTTGCATTTCCAGTGTTCGCTTCTCTGTTCTTGTGAATGAAGCTCCAACAGATTTCTTTAGTTCTTCGAGGGGTCTGAGATTGGGGACCCGCTTTCTCCCTTCATGTTCCTTGTTGTGATTAGATTGATTGGTTTGGGGGGGGGGGGGGGGGGGGGGGTAGTCAATGTCAGGGACTTTGGACTTATTAGCCTTCTGGGCTTCATCTACAAGTTAATAGCGAAAGTCCTTGCATTGAGATTAAGGGAAGTCTTGGATGGGATCATTTTCGATTCTCAAATTCGGTCCTTATTGTTGCTGAGTGTGTGGACTCCAGATTGAGTAGTGGGATTCCAGGGGTTTTGTGTAAGCTGGACATTCAGAAGGCCTATGATCATGTTAGAGAGAATGGGTTTTGGAGAGAGATGGAGGAGATGGATTGAGTTCTGTACTCTGATTGATATTTGAGGTGTATTTTGATATCGTTTCAAGTTGTCTCAGGATCAAAGGTGAATGTGGGAAAAATTGTTTTGGTCCCAGTTGGGAGGTCCCACAAATCTCCACTTTAGCCGATATTCTTGGTTGCAACATTGGCTCCTTCCCCATTTCCTATTTGGGGTTGCCTCTTGGGGTGCTGTCAAGGAGAGTGGGAGGTTGGGTCCCTGTGGTGCAAAGGTTTGAAAGGAGGTTGGCTGGTTGGAAAAAGCAGTATGTCTCGAAAGGTGGGAGGGTTACTTTAATGAAGAGTACTCTTTCAAGCCTTCCGACTTATTTCCTCTCCCTTTTTCAGATCCCTTCTTCTGTTGCTGATAGGATAGAGACTCCAACGGAATTTCCTTTGGGGTGGAATAGGGGAGGAGTTTAAGTTTCATCTGGTTTGTTGGGATCAGGTTTGTAGTCTGATTCGGACAGGAGGTATGGGTATCAAAAGACAGGCTGGTGCCGTTCAACAAAGCCCTTTTATTGAAGTGGCTACTAAGATTTGGTAGTGAGAGGCAGAGACTTTGGAGGAGGGTGATTGCGAGCAAATTTGGGGAGGATAGAGGAGGTTGGTGCTCTTGTGAGGTGCGTTCTCTTGGTGGAGTAGGGGTTTGGAAATTCATTCGGAAAGGTTGGGATGGATTTTCTAAACACATTAGATTTCGTGTTAGGGATGGTAGGAGGATCCGTTTTTGGGAGGACATTTGGTGTGGCGAGCGATCTTTGGCACTCTCTTCCGCAAACTCTTTAGGATTACCATGGATCGTCATACCTTGGTGGTCGACTGCTATTTGCTTGATAGAGGAAGAACATCATGGGATGTGCATTTTTTTGTGGCATTTTCAGGATTGGAAGGTTGAGGATGCCATTGCTTTTCTCAAGCTGTTGTATCGCTAGGTGATTGGGGGAGGTCCTGATTCTTGGGTGTGAGCTTCATCTTCCCAGGGTTGTTTTGAGGTTTGGTCTTTTTATAGGTGTCTTATGGATGCTACAGGGATCCCTTCCCTTGGAAGGCTATTTGGCGTTCCAAGGCCCTCCTCAAGGTGACTTTCTTTGTTTTGACTTTGGTGCTGGGGAAGATCTTAACCCAGGATAATTTAAAGAGGAGGAGACAAGTGGTGGTCAACTGTTGTTGCATGTGCAAGAGAGATGAGGAAATGATTGATCACCTTCTTTTGCATTGCCCAGTGACTTGTGATTGCTGGGTTTTGTTTTTAGGTTTGTTCGGGGTTCAGTGGGTTATGCCCAGGTCTTCCAGAGGCTTAGTTGAGGGTTGGAGAGGTTGTATAATGGGGGCCCAAGTTCATGATTTTTGGAGCCCAAGTTCATGATTTTTGGAGGGTCACACCTTTGTGCGTTTGGTGGTATTTATGGCTTGAAAGAAATAGATCCTTTGAAGACAAGGAGACTCCTATTGGTGCGCTTAAGTTCTCCATCGTTAGTACTTTTTTTGTTGGGTTCTAGGGAGATATTGTAAATCCATGGAAGAGTTAGTTGATTTTTTGGACTCTTTAAGAGGTTAAAGGCCCTATTTGGCTTTGTTTAGCTTTCGAGGAACGCGTTCCCCTTTTGAACCCTAAACTGTTACAATAGCATGTATTTATAGAATTATAGGCCTAAGCAAACCCTAAACTATTTAGGAAAATAAAACAATGAAAACTTTCCAAAACAGACACTAAATTATTAGGAAATTAAAACAATGAAAAACTTTCCTAAAACAGAAACTAAAGTATTAGGAAATTAAAACAATGAAAATATAAACTAGAAACACTGTTCATGTACTACTGTTCACACACTGTCACTGTTCAAGCCTGTTCATTCATGTACTACTTTACATATATATTCATATAAAGCTGGGCAATTAGGCCAAACTCCCTCGATTAAGGTAATAATGGATCTTAGCAATTTAATAGTTGTGTAGTCAAATTCTTACTGCAGAAAATGTCACAATGTTAGATCTGCATATCTTATTACTATGGTGTTTGTTGCTTAATGCAATGGCGAAACTCCGGAGACAAGTGTGAGTATGCAGGTTTTTGTGTGAAAGCAGCCACTTTGTGCAAAATAATACGAAAGCTTAAGTTTGTATCCACTTTTTTTTCCCAGAACCCTACGGAAGTGTCTGAAGCACTGTGTAAATGGCCTTTTCTATGTTAATTATGTGAAGGGTTATTTGGGTGGACGTTGGAAATTTGTTACTATAAAGGGATAGGAAGAGGAGGGTTGAGCTGCATCTTTCTTCTTTGGCCTGTAGAAGAAAGGATTTAGCCTTAAGAACGCATGTTATCAGTTTATAATTTTCTTTTGCTAGAAGGAGAAAATCTTAAAAAGTTATATGTATATCCTTATGAACTCATACAATCGATTCATCAGCATCGTCATTGGTTAAGTACTGAACAGAAAGATCCCTTTCTCTTTATGATTCTAGGCTATTTCCTAAACAGTAACATATGAATTATAGAAACAGGATACTTTGTTTTGAAACTTCTTGGCTGTACTCTGTCCGTTGATTTAATATCACTTGCATGTTATATAATAATCTAACCATTATGTGTCTTCTTTTTGTTGTCAGAAACAAATTCAAAATGGAAGAAAACATCTTTGTTCTGTAGTTTATGGTTCATTGCCTCCAGAGACTCGTACAAGACAGGTATAAAGTTCCCCCTTTTTCAAATTATCCATTTTGTGCTTTTTAATTTATGTTCTGGTGAGTGCTCTCTATTGATATATGTTACAGGATTTAAATATTAAAGTTACACCCTCTCTAACAGTTTAAACTTTTAGAGTAGACGGTGGTCAACATTGTATCAATGCAGGCAAGGTCCTGAGTTCAAACTTCAAGCCTCACCATCACCCTAATAATTAAAATTGAAACATGTGTTGGATCAAGAGAAGGCCACACGTGAGGGGGCGTGTTAGAGGATTTAAATATTAAAGTTGCCAGGTCTTGCCTTCTGAGGTGTAATTTTTCTGATTTACTATTTCTATACATTTTGGCCTCTTTCTCTCTCTCTCTTTCGGAATGCTGAAAGTATTTGAAACCCATTTTCTGATATTTGTAGCACCAGTTTGAATGCCAAAAATATATTTTATAAGTTTGATATTGGGTTATTTGACCCTTGAATTTGTTATATCTACATGCCTTGTTTCATGATTGCTTCAATTGATAAGCAAGGTGTGGATGAACTAATTTGGGGTTTAGAAATGCAGGCAACAATGTTCAATGATGCAAGCAGTGAATTTGATGTTCTAGTCGCAAGTGATGCCATTGGGATGGGTCTGAATCTTAACATTTCAAGAATCATATTTTCAACACTGAAGAAATTTGATGGAATACAAATGCGGGAACTCACTGTCCCAGAGATCAAACAAATTGCAGGTAACAATGTGGCTGAAATTCATAGCATCTTCATTTCCAATTGCGATTGCGGATTAGCGTTGAAATTATGGTATCGTTGATTAAATTATAGGGGTAAAATCATAAAACCGCCCTATACTATAAAATTTAAGCATATAATCCCCTTATATATATATATATATATATATATATATTTTTTTTTTTTTTTTTTGATAATTAAGCAAATTCATTCAAAAAGCTTTCAAAAGGGGAACACGTCCCAGAAACAACAAAGGGATCCGATGGTCCCAATGAAGAAATAAAATCAGTCATCTCCTCTGGGGAGGAACAAAGCCTACCCGAACCCCAAAAACATAAAGATGTAATAAATGCTGACTTAAGAACAACAATCGAGGATTCCTTTCCTTTAAAGGATCTATTATTCTGCTCCCTCCACAAACACCACCATAAACACAAGGGCGCCGTCCTCCAAAACCCACGAGCATGACCTCCCACATAGCACCCTCTCCAAGCCTCCATCAATCCTCTCGCAGATCTAGGCATTACCCACAAAACCCCAAACATTCCTAACAAAAGACACCAACAGTCGAAAGCCATTGGATAATGCAAAAGAAGATGATCCACCGATTCTCCATTGCACTTGCACATATAGCATCAGTTAACTGTGATTTTGTCTTCGCCTACTCAAATTGTCGAGCGTCAAGATCTTGCCCCACACCACTGTCCAAGTAAAGAACGCCACTTTGAGTGGCACCTTAGATCTCCACACTGTTTTCCACGGAAACGTTATCCCTGTAGTATCTGAGAGGCATCGGAAAAATGATCTCACATCAAACTTTCCCCGAGAAACAGGCACCCAAACAAGCAAATCTCTCTCTTCCACGGGTCTCATGCCGATACAAATGATCTAACAACCAGCAAATGTCGTCCAACTCCCAATCCTGAAAAGCTCTCACAAACCGCACATCCCAAGTCAACCTCCCGCTATCAAGCTGATAGTAGTCAGTAACCGAGGCATGCTTATCAACAACAATCCTAAACAATCTGGGAAATGAACAAGCAAAGGTACAATCACCACACCAAAGATCTTCCCAAAACCGCACGTCCTTACCATCCTGAACTCTGAATCTGATGTGTTTGGAGAACTCATTCCATCCTTTCCCAATGGATTTCCAAACGTCGACACCAGCAGGAGTCCTCACCAAACATGAGCACCACCCCTCCGTCTCTTCCCCAAACCGGCACAAAATAACCCTCCTCCACAGCCTATGGCGTTCCACTACAAATTTCCACAACCACTTACCAAGGAGCGCCTTGTTAAATGGCACCAACCTCCTTATCCCTAGGCCTTCGGCCTGAATCGGCCTACAAACCTGCTCCCAATGGACAAGGTGATACTTAAATTATCTTTGTAAGCCACCCCATAGAAAGTTCCTATGAAGCCTTTCAATCGAAATAGTAACCACGGATGGAATCTGGAAGAGGGATAAAAAATAAGTAGGGAGGCATGAGAGCGTGCTTTTCAAAAGAGTGACCTTCCCAGCTTTTGATAAGTACTGCTTCTTCCACCCTGCAAGTCTCCTCTGAACCCTCTCAACCACCGAATCCCAAGCACCCATAGTCCTCGAAGAAACTCCCAAAGGTAGCCCTAAGTATGTAATCGGGAAGCTACTGATTCCACATCCAAGCACAAAAGCTAACTCACCAATATTCTGCACCTCCCCCACTGGAATCAAGGCACTCTTCCCAACATTCACTTTCAAGCCTGAAACCGCCTGAAAACAAATCAGCACCGATCTGAGGTACCTCATCTGGTACACCTCAGCCTCACAAAACACCAAGTGTCATCCACAAATAATAAGTGAGATATCTCCATATGATGAGCATCATCCCCAACCACCATGAACGCCCTGATAAAACCCAACTCCACCACCCTCCCCATCAACCTACTAAGAGCTTCCATAACAATAATGAACAGGAAAGGAGACAAGGGATCCTCCTGGCGCAAACCTCGCGAGCTACCAAAGAAACCGATCGGAGACCCATTAAACATCATCGAAAATCTGGCTGAAGATATGCAGTCCTCAATCCAAATCCTCCATTTATCCCCAAAACCCTTTCTCTCCATCAAGTATAACAAGAACTTCCATCTCACATGATCATAAGCTTTCTTAACATCAAGCTTGCAAAGAAGCCCTGAGACACTGCTCCTCAACCTCGTGTCCACACATTCACTAGCGATAAGAGCTGAATCAATAATCTGACGCCCACCAATAAAGACATTCTGAGAGTCCGAAATGATATCATCCAAAACAACCCTCAACCTTAATGCTAGAACTTTAGCTATTAATTTATAGATGCAGCCTAACAAACTAATAGGTCTAAAGTCCTTAACATCTGAAGCTCCCCCCCTTCTTTGGAAGTGCAATGAACGATGCATTCAGGGAACTCTTAAACCTCCCCTGAATATGGAAGGCATGAAACGTAGCCATCACCTCTCCCCTAACCACACCCAAACTCTCCAAAATAAACCTCATCGTAAAACCATCCGGCCCTAGAGCTTTGTCCCCGTAACAACTCCTTAGCACCTTCAACACTAACTCTTCAGAGAACGGAATCTCCAAACCATCTCTATTAATCTCAGAAATGGAATCAAAGTGAAGACCATCAAGCCAGGGTCTCCATAAATAAGGCTCCGTAAACAAACCATGATAAAAAGAGACAATCCCCCTGCAAACATCCTCCTCCCTAACCAGAACCTCCCCATCAATAGTAATCTTCCCAATGTGATTGCCTCTCCTATGAGCATTTGCAAGCCAATGGAAAAACTTAGTATTCTTGTCGCCTTCTTTAAGCCATAAGCTTCTAGATTTCTACCTCCAAGAGATTTCTTCTGACACTGCAATCTCAGCAATCTCCTTCTGGCATGCATCCCTCCTACTTTTCTGACCCTCATCAATGCCACCCATACCTTACCGCTTATCAATCTCGGCAATCTCCGCAAGGGCCCTATTCTTCCTCCACTCCAGGTTACCAAACACCTCCTTATTCCACATTTTAATCTCATGTTTCAATCCCTTGAGCTTTTTCGCAAGAATAAAGCTTGGGTTACCATCCACCTTGATACCCTCCCACCAAGACCTCGTACTTGGGTTTGCCGCTGGGGGACTCGGCTAGGAGGGTGGGAAGTTGGAACTCGGTAATTGAGCGGGTCGAGCGAGAGAAGATTAGCGGGTTGGAAAAAACAATATCTGTCAAAGGGCGGTAAAGTTACGTTAGTGAAGAGCACTTTGTCAAGCCTTCCAACGTACTTTCTTTCGCTTTTTCGTATTCCAGCCTCTATTGTTGGAAGACTAGAAATGCTCCAACGTAATTTCCTTTGGGGGGGTCGCGGAGAAGAGTTCAAGTATCATCTTGTCAAATGGGAACAGGTTTGCAGGCCTATTCGGTTGGGAGGGCTTGGAATTAGGAGATTGGCCACTTTCAATTGTGCTCTTCTTGGTAAGTGGCTTTGGAGATTTGGTAAGGAAAGACATAGATTATGGAGAAAGGTTATCTCATGTCGCTTTGGGGAGGAGAGAGGAGGGTGGTCAGCAAGATCAGTCAGGTCTGATGGCGGAGTGGGGGTGTGGAGGGCCATTGGTAAGGGGTGGGATGCCTTTTCCAAACATATTAGATTCAGAGTTCGGGATGGAAGAACTGTCCGGTTTTGGGAGGATCCATGGTGTGATGATAGGCCTTTGGCCCTTTTGTTTCCCAGGCTTTTTAGGATTGTTGTTGACAAACATGCAATGGTTGCTGACTATTATCGCCTTGATAGTGGAAGGTTGTCTTGGGATGTGCGTTTCCGGCGAGCTTTTCAGGATTGGGAGCTGGATGATGTCACTGGGTTTTTGGCTCTTCTTTACGGACAGGAGGTGGAGGGGTCTGGGGCAGATTCTTTGATTTGGGTGCCTTCTTCTCAGGGGATGTTCCAGGTCCGGTCCTTTTTTGTGTGCCTTTCTGGTTTTCATGGTACCTCATTCCCATGGAAGACGGTGTGGAGGTCTAAGGCGCCTCTTAGGGTGGCCTTTTTTGTGTGGACTGTAGCTTGGAGTAAGATTTTGACGTTGGACAACTTGAGGAAGAGAAGACATATCATTGTTAATAGGTGTTGTCTTTGCAAGATTAATGGGGAGTCGGTGGATCATCTTTTGTTGCACTGTCCTGTGGCTCATGATTGTTGGAGTTTGATGTTTGGCCTGTTTGATATTCATTGGGTCATGCCTCGGACATCTTGGGAGTTGTTAGATATGTGGAGGGGCCAATGGGTGGGGGCTCAGGTCAGAGTTTTTTGGAGGGTGATCCCTTTTTGTATTTGGTGGAGCATTTGGAGAGAGTGTAATGGAAGATCTTTTGAAGGAAAGGAATCCTCCATTGGGGTGTTAAAATTTTCTATCATTTGTAATTTGTTTTGTTGGGGTCAGGGGAGAGACTACTCCTCTCTTGAGGAGATTGTTGACTTTATGAGTTCTTTGAATTCATAGGCTCCGTTTTGTCTTTGTATAGTTTGGGTCGCGTTCCCCTTTTTGAACGCTTTTAATACAATTTACTTATCAAAAAAAAAAAAGACCTCACCCATCCCTGGAAATCCTCTGCCTGTAGCCACCTATTTTCAAAGCGAAAGGGAGTACTCATCGTCCTCAATCCACCACAGTCTAATACTATAGGAATATGATCAGATGTCGGTCTAGCCAAAGCTGCCTGAACGACGTCCGGAAACTTCTCTTCCTAGTCTCCTGAGAGAAGAAAACGATCCAATGGTAACAAAGTTGGAGACTCTTTACCACTCCCCCATGTAAACTTAGCTCCATCTCCACACACACACACAAAAAAAAACACACACCACGGAAGACACCATTGATCCTTCACTGCCCCCAACTCCTCCCCAAAATGTGCCTCTCCCCATCCTCAACTGGGCCATACACACCAGAAAACATCCAACAGAACACGAGATAGAAAACCTCCCTCTTCGAAACCCATCTCCTATCCCACATTAGCAAAATACCCCCAGACGTCCCCAAGGCATCTAGAACCTCCCACTCCCCCCCCCCCCCCCCCCCCCCCCACACACACACACACACACACACAAACTCCACACAACCCTATCTGACATGGAAGCCATCTTTGTCTCCTGCAAGCAAACCACATGCACACCCCACTTCTTCTCAGCCATCTTCACCACTTTTCTTTTGTCCGAGTTATTGAGTCCTCGGACATTCCAAGAAATAATTCAGCACTTCATCAAGAACAAATGGATAACCCTTCCCCTTTCTTTCTCCCTCTACCCCTTTCATGGCTCCTCTCCCTCCCAGACCCATTACATCCCTCATAATTTACACCGGAGAACAAACTGCGAATCTCCCTTCCCCCTCTCCATAGAGTCAACCTCTTTTCCTTACTCTATCCGTTTCCTGCTACCCCTCTCCTCCCCAGTCTTCCCCTCAACAATTGAATGCAAAACCATACGAGCCTGCTTCTCCTTTGGCTCAAAAGAAATTCCCAACAAACTGCTTACACTATCAATATTCTCCTTTACACAATCCACCCCACTGCCCTCATGAGCTGCAACATAAAGACCCCTCCAACTCCCATCTGGTCGTATCTCAGAAAGTGGTTGAATGCACTCCAGAACCTCAGCCTCGCCCCATGAAACCATCTCCCTGTCAATGAGCGCATTGTCCTCTGCATCCCTACCTCGGTCATCATTAGCAGTGCTACCCACTCCAATACAAGTTGGAGTGCCTAGAGTACCATCCAAGTCCTCCTCAATTGCATCAGAACCAAAATCCAAAATTCGGTTCAGTCCTTTCAGCACCTTATAAGCATGTAACTCCTTCACCAGAACCGAAGCAGCGTCATTACCTAGTTTGAACCTCATATTTCTTTCCACACAAACCATAACCCCATCAGCATCTTCCACAGTCTGACCTCTAGGATCATCCTCCCTGGGCATCGCATCCCTTTCTGACAACCCGGGGCACCCACCTCCATTCGTCCTCCCATCCTTTGCCTCATCATCAGCCAACCCTTCCGTCACAGGCGAAAGCCTCTGATTTTTCTCCCCCATCCCCCCCTCAACACCCAACAAGGAGTTGAAGAAGAAGAAGGGGTAGAGAAAAGTTTTTTAGGTTGCAGAGAATGATACATACCAGATCCACATTCAGTTTGTTTACGAATAGCCCATTTTTGTTTTTCATTACATGACCATCGCCTTTCATGACGCCACTGTGAAGCATCGGATTGGCCAGTACCATAAGGAAACTCAGCCACGGAAGAGAGAGGCCCGAACCTGTTCTATGAAACAAAATTCTGATAGCACTTATCATGCCGAAAATTCTTATCTCTTGCACCAAACCCAGTCTTTCTTGTACTAACCTTCACCCAGTTGCTCTTCTCTGCCGCCGACCAATGTCTACTCTCAGACCCATGTTGCAGCGGAAGTGCCGATGCCCTCGTGTCTCTCTGTGAGAATGGATATACTTTATCCTTAACAACTCATCTGTCTCTAACCTTCGTTTCAGCATAAAAAGTGGGCAGCCCTAGTAATGAGATGGATAGCCCCTTATTGGATCCCCACTGGACCACCCTCTTTCTACCTTGAGGATCATCAAGTCTGGTTTGAACCAAACATCTGTTAGGCTTGGGCCTATCAGGCCCAACACCAGCATCAAATGCTGAGGAAGCAGCCACTAGCCCAGCATAGCTAGCATGTCTGTGGGCTGCCCCAACTAACTAAACCTCATAAAACCCCCTTATACTAACTAAACCTCATAAAACCCCTTACGTTTTCAAAAAGCCATCAACTTACCCCTTCCTGTTAGTTTGTCATGAGACACTAATGGGAAAATAGCATGTGTCACGTGCGAAAGTTTATTCTCCATGTGACTGAAATGCCCCTGAATATTCGTACACGACACGAGCACGCCATGGATACGTGTCCGACACGAGTGTCTCATTTTTGGGGATATTTTTTTTTTTGGGATAAGTAAGGCACTTGTGGAATTTTAGAAAGTTTTAGAAAGAAAGCTAGGTTGAAGTGTAAATATAAGAAGTCGTTCAATAGCTTCCAATAATATGATGGTCAATACATAATTACTTAAATGTTGTTGTGTTATAAAACAATTTTATATTAAACAATCAGATATTTATGCTTGTATTTTAGTTCAAAGGTTCAAACTCTAGCACGATCATCTTTGACTCTCTTGTTCTGCCATCGTATCAAGCTTCGCTCCCAGTGGATGGTTTCTCTCTCTCTCTCCCTCTCTCTCTCTATCCTTTTTTCTCTCTTCTCTCTTCTTCTTCACAAACCCTAGATACTTCTTTTTTTCCTTTCATGACAAAATTCTTTTTGTGTCTCTTTTTCCTTTTTCCTCTTGTTTCCATTAACTCCTCTCTTCTATGGATTCTTACTAACTAAACCCTAGATACTTCTTTTTTTCCTTTCATAACAAAATTCTTTGTGCGCCTCTTTTTCCTTTTCCCTCTTGTTTCCATGAACTTTTCTCTTCTATGGATTCTTACTAACTAAGCCCTAATTCTTTTTCTAACAAAACCCTTATCTTCTTTGTTTTCTTCTCTTTCTTAACCCTCTCTCGTTCTCTCTTTTGCCCGGTAAAGCACAATTTTCTTCATTATTAGGTTGATAAAAAATAATATTACTCTTAATTTCTTAAAGTACAACATTATATATATATATATATATATATATATATATATATATTTATATAAATAAATATTTATTATTTGCCGTGTCTGTGTCCTAATTTTTTAGGATTTTCCGTGTCCCGTATCCATTTCCTTGCTTCTTAGAATACTGGGGGTTCGAATCCCTCTCCATTCACTTGGTCATAAGTTCTCTCTTGCATTGTCTATAGATTAGAATGAATTGGATCGACCCGAGTGATATGATAGATGAAATGAATGGTTAGCTTGTGTAATTCTTTAGTTAGGACTTTGTCTTCCTTTCGTTATCTTCTGTCCTATTCTACTTATATAGGTTGGGGAAGGGTCTGTGTAGCGAAGAAGAAGCAAGAAGAGAGAGAGAAGGAGCGAAGCCCGTCCCGAGCATAAAAGAAAGATTTCTCAATTAATTGATTGGATACCTTGATTGATGGTATGAGGGACGTCCAACTCCTGAGTTGGTTGATTGGGAGCAGCTTCGTCCCCTTCTACATTGATAGCCATCACCTTTAGGGGAAACACGATCAACCCTTCAAGGCTGGTGCCTCTATACACAACTTAGCATCTTATGACACTAATCAGGTTCTGACAAAGACACATCCAATCGGTCATGGACTGACCTGTCTTGATCTATGAGCTACGACCAAGCAGCGGATTTGCAGGGAATTCCGGATTGAAGAAGAAGCAGATCAGACTAGGAATGGTACTTGAGAAGGGAGAAATGAAGAAGCAGGAAGCCATACAACACCAATGGGTGGAGGACCGACCCCACACCCCCCCCCCCCGGCGCGCGCGCGCGAATGGAGGGGACCTCAAGTCAAAGCAAAGGGTTAGTGCTGGCTCCCATAAACCAACACACTCTAGGATGAACGGGATTGAATCCTTTTATTTGCTATCCTAGCAGTAGATGGACTCCCCATGCCCCGAGATTCTATAGACATTGGACCAACGCCCTCCCAAGCTATATGCCCAAATCTTTCATCTTTACAATGGTGATATGGCTTAAGAATAGTGACTATGTAAAAGGTATCACTGACTTGCAAGTCGGTATGATGCAATGTAAAAACTATTCAGTTTCCTTTTTCCAGTTAGTCTTCATATGATCTTAAAAAGGAGCCATACTTCGAGATGCAAGGTTTTTTCATTATTGTAATCAAGATCACTTGAAAAACACTCAGAAGGGTTATAAACATAAAACATAACTCAGTTTCCTTGCTATAAGATGGTTAAAAGTAGGTGATTCGTGCATTTGCATGTCATTTTATTCTCTTCTTACTGATGAACGTTCAATGGTGTCATTATATGTTATATTGACGTTTTTAGGAGTACTTCTTCATGTGCCAATTTTAAATTAAGATTTATTTATTTGGGAATAAGGTTTGTATATTTTGACCTTTGATGTTTAAGATGGTTAACTTTTTTGCTTGTAGGGAGAGCTGGCAGGTATAGATCTAACTTCCCTGTTGGTGAAGTAACTTGTCTAGATGCAGAAGATCTACACTTAATTCATTCGTCACTGAAATCACCGTCTCCCATTTTAGAGGTGTAAGAATTATCACTGGACTGTGCTGTGAGGAATATGCACTTGATTATACTTTGTTATTGTTAATTTTGATACTCATAAATCCATGTTTGGCTCCCTGGCCAATTAACTTCCAGCTCTTTTATATATTTACATGTGGTTTTATACTTTTATTGCTTTAATGCTCTCTAAAATAGAGGTACATATCTTAATGCAGCGTGCTGGATTATTTCCTACCTTTGACCTTATGTTTATGTATTCACGGTTGCATCCAAAGAGTGGCCTTTACAATATATTGGTGGGTTAATACTCTCTCTCTCTCTCTCTCTCTCTCACACACACACACACACACATTTTGTGTGTGTATATTTATATTGTTCAGTATGCCTAATGTTGACTTCTATATAACCGTTTACATACTTTCTCATACAATAGGAGATAGTGTAGATATGCACTTGTTTGGTGTTATTAATTAAAAAAGAGTTAGAACTTCAATTTGAATACCACTAAAGAGGAGAGATTTTATTTTAGTTTAAGGTGCTATAAGGTCGGGGAAGAGCGGAAAGAACTTGGGTTTTGTCAATGAGGGAAGATTCAATGACATGATCTATCAGGTATCTTGACTGATAGATCTGTATCGAAAAAAAACTTGTGAAACTGGCCGCTTGGGTTGGATTTAAGCTTTGTGGAGTTTGGTTGAGTTGCGTGCATGTTTTATACTTGTGCACATGTGTGAATTGATCATTATGGAGTCGGTCTAATTGTTGGACCCGTATTGTTCAAAGCTTTCTTTTTATTTAATTTAATGATGTAGCGGAAGCGGGAAAAGATATAAATATCTCACACAGAGCAAAAGCTCAAACAAATTATAAAACCGATATATTGTTAATTTCATTCAAGCTGCCTCAACAATACAAAGGTGAGCCTTATTTATAGCTATTGGGATTACAACAGATTTGTTTCATTAATTAGGTATTACAGCTGTATTTCTATGTATTAGCTGTTTGTATTTGTATTTAAATTATTTTTCCATATATAGTTTGAGGTAGGCTAAGAAGCACGGACACTCCAAAATGGGCGAAGAATCCGTGTCCGACACGGACACGCGTCGGACACGCCCCGACACGTGTCGGACACGCCAAAAAACGTGTCTGGAATTTTTTTATTTTTTTTTAATTTTCGGACACGGCTCGGACACGGCTCGGACACGGCTTGGACACGGCTCGGACACAGCTTGGACACGGCACAGACACGGCTCAGACAGCTCGGACACGGCTCAGACAGCTTGGACACGGCTCGGACACGGCTCAGACATGGCTCGGACACACTATTCTGGATTTTTTTTTTATTTTTTTTTTAAATTTTTAATGCTGATATGTTCTATTTTTTGTTTTGTACTACCCTAAAGATGGTGATATATATATATACTAACCTAAAGATGCCACAATTTGCCGTGTTCGTGTCCTAAAGATGCTGATATATATATATATACTAACATATCAGTGATATATATATATATTCCAACCTAAACATATCAGTGTTTTTTTTTTTTAAATTATTAATGCTGATATATATATATATATATACTATTCGCCGTGTCCGTGTCCTAATTTTTTTGGATTTGCCGTGTCGCTGTGTCCGTGTCGTGTCGTATCCGTATCCCGTATCCGTGTCCGTGCTTCTTAGGAGGTAGGTAAGATCTCTAGGAATTAATTCAGATTTGTATAGTTATTATTGATTCTGTATAGCTGGCAGATTTATTTTTTCTTAGTATAGAGGTCTTGTATAAATAGAGGCTGGGTCCTATTCTCCATGAGAATAGAATAATACAAATTATTCATCATCTCTTCTTCTTCTTATTCCGCTAATATGGTATCAGAGCTGGAATTTTGAATCTGATATTATTTTTTCTCTCTTTTCTGTGCCTCTTGCTAGCCCAGCCTTTGTGCCTCTTCGTGGCTATTTTTTTTCTATCTAGTTATTTTTCTAATGGCAGAAACCCCTGTTCCAGCCACTGTGGTGACTAAACCTGTCATCCACTTTGATAACCCCACTCTCCAAATTACCCCTGAGAAACTCAATGGAAAAAATTTCCTTGAGTGGTCTCAAATTCTCAATCGGTGTAACTATTCTTCAAAAGCAGAGGAAAAATGGGGTATCTTCGGGGGACTATTAAAGAACCCAAAGAATCAGATCCTTCTTATGATTCCTGGGAAGCTTAAAATTCCCAGATCATGACGTGGTTAATTAATTCCATGACTCCAGGAATTAGTAAACCATTTCTCTTCCTTTCCACAACAAAAGAAATATGGGATAGTGAGACTCGGAGTTACTCAAAAAAAGGAAGGGCTCCGCGAAAGTTTGAATTGAAAAGAAAAATCCACAACACCAAGCAAGGAGACTCCTCCGTGACAGAGTATTTTAATACTCTGATGGTATTATGGCAAGAGCTAGACCTTCACCAACACTTTGAGATCAAGGACGTTGAAGTTGCTAAACAACTTGCTGAGATTTTGGAGGAGGGTCGAGTTTTTGAATTTCTTGCTGGACTCGATTCTGATTTTGATGAAGTTAGTGGGAGGATTCTAGGAAAAGAGCCTCTTTGCTCTTTGGAGGAAAGTTTTTCGTATGTTAGTAATGAAGAAGATCGAAAAACAGTTCTCTCTAAAACTGCTGCTCCCGAAGTTTCTGCTCTCAAAACTGAAGGAGTTCAGTTCAATTCTGGGTAGTATAAAAATCAGAATAAAAAAGGAAAGACTGACTCAAGGTGGTGTGATTTTTGTAATAGACCAAGGCATACAAGACAAACTTGCTGGAGATTGAATGGGAAACCTTCCATTGGAGACAAAGGAAATCTTCCACAACAAAGGAAGGCCTTTCAAACAGTGACTGATTCTATGGAAAGCAATATAGAGGATCTCTCTAATGACCAGATCTTCTCCAAAGCACAACTTGAGGCTTTACAACAGATGCTAGGACAGGCTGGTCTCTCTGGTATATCAAATTTTAATACAGTTGCCACCAGCCACTTTGTCCAATCAAGTACTACCCCTACTGCCCTCCTTAGTATCACCAATAAACCTTGGATTATAGACTCTGGATCCTTAGACCACATGACTGGTAATTCCTATGATTTCTTAACATACAATCCATGTTCAGGCAAAGATAAAGTTAAGGTTGCGAATGGGTCATTTGTTCCTATCCATGGAAAAGGTTTTATTCCTATTTCCAATACTCTATCTCTTTCATCTGTCCTACATATCCCTAGTTTTACCTGTAATCTTTTATCCATTAGCAAGATCACAAACAATCTAAATTGCTCAGTGACCTTTTTCCCTACTTATTGTGTGTTTCTGGATCTAACCTCGGGGAAGAAGATTGGCAATGGTGAAGAGAGAGACAGGTTGTATTATCTTCATCTTGGTAAAGAGATTGCTCAGGCCCATACTTCAGTCAGTAATAAAGAAAATCTGATATGGTTGCTCCATTTTAGAATTGGTCATCCAAACTTTAAGTCCCTTAAAGTGTTATGTCCTAGTTTGTTTTCGGGTTTAGATCTTTCAGTCTTTCAATGTGAAATTTGTGAACTTTCTAAAAGTCACCGTGTTCCTTTTCCAATTAGTAATAAACTTTCTGCAATTCCTTTTTCGATGGTTCACACTGATGTTTGGGGACCCTCCCGTATCCTATCCTTGTTTGGCTTTAGATGGTTTGTCAGTTTTATTGATGATTGCACACGTACATCTTGGATTTATTTGCTTCGAAAAAAATCTGAGGTTAGTAATATATTTAAGTCCTTTCACATGATGGTTAAAAATTAATTCCATACCAATATTCAAGTCTTTAGATCTGATAATGGGAGGGAATATTTCAATGAAACTCTGGGAACCTACCTAAATGAAAACGGGATTTTACACCAATCATCATGTATTGATACCCCTCAACAAAATAGGGGTAGCAGAGAGAAAAAATAAACATTTACTCGAAGTGGCAAGAGCCTTATTGTTTTCTAGGAGTGTACCCAAGTGTTATTGGAGCGATGCTATTCTAGCAGCTTATTACTTGATCAACCAAATTCCCTCTAAAACACTCGATATGAAAACTCCGATTGACTGCCTTAAATCCTTTAACACAAATGAAAGTATTTTCAACAGTCTTCCTTTGAAAGTTTTTGGGTGTGTAGCCTACATTCACCTTCCAAGTAGAGAAAGATCTAAACTTGACCCTAGAGCACAAAAATGTATCTTTCTTGGTTATTCCCCAAACGAAAAAGGCTACAAATGTTTTCATCCTCCTACGAAGAAATATTTTGTCACTATGGATGTAAATTTTTTTGAAAATCTCTCCTACTATCCCAAGTCCGATCTTCAGGGGGAGATTGGTGATGAAAAGGAAGATCTTTCCTATGATCTCTCAATAAATCTTGACCAAATAAATCTCGATTCTACTCATACTCCTACTCCTACTCCTACGCCTATTGCTTTACCATAACAGCCGAGTCTAAGGGAGGATATTCAAGTTGAAAAATCAGAGGGAAACAGAAATATAGTTCGGCCAAACACTTCTCTTGTATACTCACGAAGGAAACTTGGTCAGACTATACAGCCTGACACTCTCACCCACAATCAATCTTCAACTCCGGAGTTGGAAAATGAGCACTCTGTAAGTCCTCGGTCAGGTAGTTTACATAATCCTTCTTTGCCCCAATCTGATACGGATTTAAATATTCTTTTAGCTATCCGAAAGGGAGTAAGGTCATGTACCACTAAACATCCCATTGCCAATTTTCTATCCTATCACCAAATTAAACCTTCCTTTTAGCAAATTTCTACTGAAAGTATTCTTGCTAATATTTCTGAGGCACTAAAGGATCTAAAATGGAGAGGAGCAGTTCTTGAGGAAATGAAAGCTCTACAGCAGAATGAAACTTGGGAAATTGTTAATCTACCTAGAGGGAAGAAACTTGTGGGCTGCAAGTGGGTCTTCACTGTGAAGTATAAATCAGATGGGTTAATAGAAAGATACAAGGCAAGACTCGTTGCCAAGGGGTTCACTCAAACCTATGGTTTAGACTACCAAGAGACATTTGCTTTGGTTGCCAAAATGAACTCAGTAAGAATTTTGTTCCCTCTTGCTATTAACTTAGATTGGCCTTTACATCAATTTGATGTAAAAAATGCATTTCTGCGTGGCAATCTAGAAAAGGAGGTTTTATATGGAGTTACCTCCTGGTTTTGGAGATGCAAGTAGTGAGAAAGTTTGCAGGTTAAAAAAATCTTTATATGGGCTGAAACAGTC